CCTCTAGAATCCCAGCAAGACCTTTTGCTTCTGCTGACAGAAGCTGCTGCTTCTTCCTGCTTCTTTCTGAAGCAACCTGAGAACTCRTTGTCACCTTGTCGTGCCATTTTTGCTTTGCTTCCTCCCTTTTTCCAGCAGCACAATCTTTCTGCCATGTCTCCCTCAGGCTCTTAGAAGCAAACAGCCATCTGACAGCAGAGGGTGGGGCAATCCTGCTGCAGCGAGGAGCAACTGAGACACCCGCTGGTAAGGGGCTGTGTGGTGCCAGGCCAGTGTTGGGTGTGGGAAGGGACTGGTGCCAACAGCCATTGTCTTCTGCAGGGTACAGGGTGCCCTAGCTACAAGTTTACACAACCTGAATGGGGTCAATTAAGTCTGGAGGCAGAGTTCTCCATGCCCAGCAGCTGGGTTTGGTGCTCAAGCCCTAGAACAGCTAAAGAAAATAAATAAAAAAGGAGAATTCTGAATTAATCCTCTTCCTCCTGTCTCAAAAAGTCTTGTGCAGACCCCAAAAGTGAGTTAAAACAGAACAACTCCTGCTCCTATGAAATATGAAAACCTCTTGTTTTTTCTTTCCAGGGCTGGTGTATAACAGAGACATGAGAGCCCGTACGGTGAGCACTGCTCTTCTAACCTGCCCCCTGCTACTCTGGAGCCCTGAGCTTACAGAACACTCAGAGGATGCTTGCTCACTGAGCCAGGCCCTGCCTTCACCCAGCCACTTACTTTCTGCTTCCCTAATTCCCACATCTCTCTTTTAAAAGAGGGACAATGATCACTTGATCATTGACTCAGCCTACAGAGTCATTGGAAAAAATTACTGCTTATTTTTTTTAGCAGTTCCTCTGCCCCAGGGCCTTCTGGCCAYGTTTTCCTGCTGTTGTAACTCTTCAAGCAGCAGATGGATGGATGCCTTTTGTCAGCTTCTTTGTCAGGTGACCTGAATAAGAAGGGAAATGGAGCAAAGTCCTTAGGTTTGGTATTTTGATAGTTTTGTGTCACACTTTTGAGCAAATAAGGTCTCCTCTAACTGTGCTACTGCCAGGATATGGAAGCCAGGGTAACGTACTCTCTCCTTTTTTTTGTAAATGGATTTTTAAAGCTTTTCTCTATGAGATCATTGCCATATGTGCTGCATCCCAACAGGCAACATTGTTGGCAGCCCTGAAACACAGCTGGACAGAAAGAGCCTTTGCAGAGCCAGCTACTGCTATGTGCAGTCTGGATGCTTTTTGTGTCCCAGCATGGAAGGGGCCACAGCTACTTGTAGCTTCAGAGCCACTTGTGCAGGAAGGCTTGGGGACACTCTCTCCCCGCCAGCTGCTGTCCCTGACCTTTGCCACTTTCCCTGTCTTTGCACCTGCAGCAGAGTCGAGAGTTCTTCACGGTAGAGCAGTGTGTGAAACTCCTGCAGAAGATCCAGGACCGTGTTCTCATCATTGTGTGAGTGAGGCACAAGCCAAACCAACCCTTGTTGTCTCTCAGGGGAAGGAATGAAGGCTAGGAAGSAGTGCTCCACTACCCCTTCCTCCACACCAGTCATCCAGACCTTTGACCAGTTGGCATAACAGTACAGCCTCACATGTGAGAAGTATTTCCCAGTTCCCCACCACTGCCCTGGACCAGACAGGGTCCTGGATTAAGCAGAGAGCAACTGGAATATCCTCCCAGCCTGGCACTATACTTTCAGGCTGGTACTCCCTTGAGCAAAGCTGACTAAGGAAATACTAGTCCTGCCACCATCTTCCCCATGCTCCTGGCTTCACAATCCCATCTCACAACTTTCCATTCCTTGGTGCTACAGCAAGAGGTGATCCTGGCTCCTGACCCTCCACACCTACTGGCTATCCTCCTGACCTGATTCTACCCCAGTTAGCCTGCCCCCTTCTCCAGACCCCAAAACCTCTTGTCCAAGCAAACGGGTGAAACTGCAGCAGCCTCCATCTCCTCCAGCTGCTCCTGGAGCCTCTGGCCTGACTGAGCTCCTGCAAGCTCTCTCCCATGGCACCTGGGGCAAGAACCTTTGGGGACATGGCCAGTGGCTTACACATAGCCCCACAAGCTGTTAAGCTGTCTGGGTGTGTAGCTTGTTCTGTAAGTMATCCTCTGCATTTTTCCCATATTCTTGGAGGGAAAGGTGTGCATGGCTCTGGCTACCTTGGTGGAGTGCTGTTAAAAGATTGTCTAGAAAACAAGAGGAAGTGCTAGCAGTTGAGAAAAGAGATGCAGTTTTGTCTTCCCTCATCTGTTTCAGTATCGTAAGAGCTTAAGGTTAGTCCTGCTTGTCCAGAAATGTACCCTGTGATGAGGCCAAGTCTTCTGGGCCCTAGAGATGCCTTTGAGCCTGGGTTGTCTCCTTGTCCCATCACCAACACAGTAGGAGACAGCATGATCTTAGCTCTGTAGGACATCTAATGCTGAATTCTCAGAGAAACTGCCCTGATACCTCCCTCTCTGAGCAGGACATACCCTCTTTAAATAAGCAGCAAGGGCAGGCAGAAAGGACTGAGGGGAGATGTGGAAACTGTAAGGAAGGAAAAAGTTAAGAAAAGAAGACAGAATAGGGGCAGGGAACKATGTTCTCAGACCAGTTCCAGAGCCAGCCCTGGGAGGACAATGTTTACCCAGTCTTCACTCTGATACTACTCGGCAGTCACCCAAGGTTTTACACAGATAGTTTGATAGAAAATAGTTGCTTAACCAAGCTCTGCAGTGAACCCCAACTACCACATATGACCCTGTCACCCTGCTGTTTAGGAGCAGCCTGGAAAGAACAGTTGGGTCTGTCAGCCCACTGTCTCAGGGACACCGCCTCTGCCCACAACAGCTGCAAAGGGAGGCACACTGGCTGCTGTACTGAGCCTTGCTGTTCTTTTTCAGATCACAGRATGGACTCTTGGTACCACATAACCTACCCAGCCGAAATCACTTTGTGAAAGCCCTACAGGAGGCATTTGAGTCTACCCTCAAAGAGGTGAGAGCAAACTTCTTCCCTGCATCTCTATGTGCCACCAACCTAAGAGCAGCAGCCGGGAAGTAGCTGGTCTTGGTGGRCACCCTCCACTAAGTAATTTGTCTGAACAGCACAGCCCTCACACCGGGGTGGGGGGAAGCCAACTTTGTCTCTGCTATCGAAATTCCATGTTTGTACTGCCCTCTGGATCTAGCTCTTCCCTCGTCCTTACATCTCTGTCCTGCTTCAGTTGCCCTGACCCTCCCRCAGTGTAGGTCTGAGGGAACACTTCTATGGTTCACATCTTGTGTCCTTTTCCTCCAGCACATCCAGCTAGTAGAGGTGCCTGGGAGTCATTTTGTGCACCTGAATGAGCCTGAGGTSGTATCTGGGATCATCAGCAGCTTCCTGACAATGCAGAACACCAGGGCCAGGCTCTAGGAAGCTGTCATAGCTGCATCAGTCCAGGAGAACTGGGAGGTAACAAGCAAGCCCCAGCAGAATTGTCACCATTCCTACCTCACATTCAACATCAGATTGTGATATTCTTTCCTATGCTTAGCTTACTGCAGWGTGGAAGCAGTTCTGCCAGGGGTTCTCTGAAAGAGAGCTGAGCAAAGTATCACCTTTGTCAAAGAGAGAAGGAATCCTTGCCCCACYTTCAGCTCTTTGAGTACAGGGATAGGAGGCCCAGACTGGCCTTCCCCTTGGCTTAGTCCAAACTTGCACCCTGAAACTGAGCAGAACACAGGCAGAGGCATCTTCTGTGACAGCAGCAGCACCAGCTTTGTCACTGCAAGAGAGGTGGCTCATCTTGCTTCCTCCCTGAGGATGACGCAGACATGCTACTCCCAGGATTTAACCTGCTGAAAAACAAGGAAAGTGTTCTGCTTCTCCGCTTACTTCCATAGGTGCCTGAGTTCCCCTAGGGCCTCAGTGCCTCTGTTCTACTGTGAGACCTGGTGTTTTTCTAAGAATCAGCTTAAATAAGATTTTAAGCTCTCTCTCACCTGTGCAGAGAAGGCCATTTTAATGAACTCAAGAGAATGTCCTTAATCCAGCTGAAGCAGCTGGGAGAACTACAAATTATGGAAAAGTTGGCAGAGATTATTTCTGTCCTAAATAAAGATTAATATCCTAAGTCTGTCTTCTTGACTCTGTAAGAAAACAAACCTCCTTTCTTTTTCAGGCCACTTACCCAATCAGCTAAAATGGATCTTGGGAGGCAGCAATTTTCACAGAGTCTGCTTGAGGTAGGGCATACTGAATCTGCCACTCAGCTAAACTGATGCACAAAGCCCACTGAAGCAGGCAGGCCCATCATCTCTGCAAGCAATGAAAACTATTTGCAGTGGGTTTTTTTAGGAGAGGTTAAAACCAATTTTATCTCAGCTCTGTGGAATTTACCACCATTTCCACCTTACATTCATAGTCACGTCTGCAGTGATGCTGCAGGTAGTAAAATAGATGTGTAAAAACCTGAGGCTGGGTGGGTTACTTCCATCACATACCTACCAATCTGTCCAAAGCTGCACAAATGCTATAGGAGCTGTACAAAAGCACTGCTCCACACCTAAATGTGTCTGCTGCCATTGTTGCCTGCCTTCTGTGGGCTGGTGACAGGTTAAGCAGAAAGATTCTTCACAGAATCTGGTTTCTCCTTTCAAACCAGCCTGCTCCAAGTGGCATTTGTTCTTGCAACAGTRCTGGATATCAGGAATTTCCCATGGCCTAGACATAGCTGTGGAGCTCCATGTACTGGATGACTGGGCAAAGAAGCATTTGGCTGAGAGGGAGCTGCCAGGGAGGAATCAYCAAGAGAACAGGTAGGGCTCTGTACCAAACCACTGATCTTTCCTGTGACAAGCAGTTTGGGAACTTTGCAGTTAGGCTCTTCCTAAAGTCACTTCCCTCCTCTTTCCTTCAATTAAATGTGCAAAGGAGTACCAGGTTACAAGACGTGATTTTTACCACCACCCCAGCACACAAGAAGTTGTTTCCCACAGGAGACCAGGTAGGAAAGAGAAGCAATCCCATGTTTTGACAGTAGCAGTTTATTTACACTTCTTCAGCCATTCCCTGCCCCTGCAAAGGCTATGCTAGGTTAATCCCAGTTCTCATCAAGCTTTAGGAGAAGGTGTGTTTTTGGKTGGCAGGGAGATACAGGTTGTCACAGGATGTGCTTCAACTCCTTGACCTGAGCACCCTGGAAGTGGTACCACAGAGCTGAATRATAGAAGAGCAGGAAGATACTGTGCTCTTCTACCCAGCAGCAGTTGCAGGGATCTCCCATTTCAGATCCAAGAGTAGAAGAAACCCAAAGCTGCCTCAATTCCTTAAAATCGTTTGGCAAATGCAGTTAGTAGGCAACTYTCCCATCCTCTCCAGAACACACACCTGAGGAACAGCTCAGCACAACCTAGTACGGCCGAAACTTGCGCTGGGCTCGCATYAGTGCAATCCTCTGCTTGTCCTCCTCAAATTTCTTCCTCAACTGGGCAATGTCTAAAACATGGAAAAAGAACAGATCACTCGGGAGCAGCAGATCTCCCTCTCCTGGAAGCCTGACTTCCACACACCAGGAGGGGCTCACTCCCAACAGCCACAAACATACACTTCCCACAGAGGATCCTTTTACACCTGGGCTGAGYGCCAAGCTGGAGCTCATCTCCAGCGGTGCTGCAGCTCCCTCTTGGGGAGGAATCTGGCTAGTTTCTCCGTCCAATTGCCTTTGTGCAGACTAAATAAGCCCCAGTGTGAGAAACAAGAGACATGGGCAGGGGTAGGAGAGTGGGACACTCACGCTCTCTCTTGGTCTCGCGATGCTGCCAGGCATAGAAGTTGAGCAGCTCTTTGCGGGCCCTTTTCTGTTTCTCCTTCTCCAGCACACGCAGGTTGGCAGCCTCTGTCCGGGGCAGGCCAGGCTTCCGGCCCTTCCGTGTCACCTTCACCCAGCCCTCCTCATCGGGAACACCCTCTTCCTTGGCTGCTTTGGCTTCTTCCTGTAAAGACAGGAGGGTGAAGCAGCCAGTGCAGATGGGCTGCCAGCCAGCTTGATGCACAGTTCTMCTTTACACATAGGCAAAGCTAGAGCTCCTGCTTCCATGTAAGATTTCAAGGAAGGCATGGAATACAGACTGCAAGCATTCAACTCTCAGTCACAACATTGCATGCCAGCCAGGAACCAATTTATTYGTGGATATCTACTGTAAGCCATAGGGGAACAGTCAGGTGTTGCAGACCAAACCAGGGCCTGACTGCCCACCACCAACTGGGAGTAAAAAAACCTCTKCCAAACAGCGGGACTCTCAGCCCTTTCTACTAAGGTCAGGGCAGTGAGAAATATCTCTTTTTTCCCTCTCCCCAAAGAAAACAGCTTAGCTGGGTTCCCTCCCTAGCCTGGCCTCACCTCTGCCATCTTTTTGTCATAGTCTTGCATGTAGGCATCCACTTCAGCCTTCAGCTCCTTTGGATCCACGATGGAGGCCTCATAGTTGGCAATCCACTCTGAGACAGAGAGGGCACAAGTCAGCAGTAGCTGCTATTAGAAGCAGGCTAGTGTGGTGCTTTCAGGCAGCTTGAGCAAACTCTAGAGTTGGGGAAGGACACACTATTTCCATTTGTGTTCAGCTTCYCCCCACCATGGCTCAGCACAACCATGAGCACAACCAATATGCAATGGCAAGAGTTTGCAACTTTCCCAGGCAGAAGTGGGCTAGCTTTAAGCACAAGAGGCACAACATTCAGGGCTGTTTCTGTCAAGGGGTTATATATGAAGCGCTGTCATCTTGACAGACACCTGGTGCCTGTTGMATGAATCTGGTTTCCATTTTGAGGATAAGATGTAGACAGCATCACTGAATCTATACAATACTGAAAAAACATCAGGAAAAGCCATCCTTCCAAGTGATCCCATTCTTCCATAGGGTCACTGCATCAGACTTCAACACCTAGTTCAATAAGATTGCTAATCTGTGAATAATAAAAGCACATGAACACTGAACGTCTCTCAGCTTGGTACAAAATGGGACATGCAGGGTAGGATTCAGCAAAGAATGAACATAGCTCTTCCCTAGCATTAGCCAGTAGAAGGATAGCTTGAGCTGACATACTGCTAATGCCAGTTTTCACAGGGTGGCTCTCTGTTGATATTAGCAAGGGACCTTCTTGTGATAGAGCCTTGGCTGCCTGGACACCTGCTGGTTTCCTGAACACCACATATGCTACTTGAAATCCCTAAAAGAAAAAAAAAAAACACAGGTCAGTCAGACATGTTGGGGAAACTGATGATGGAACAAGTACTAATAACTTATAGCTATTTGTATAACTTAGAGCAAGTATGAATAACTTTAAAAATTGAAATAAAAATCAAACCACAAGTGGCAATAGGATAGCAAAACAAAAGACAGTGTAAACTTAAGTAAGTAATCATGTCACCCAAAGCCCCATGTGGTTTCCTATACCTCATGTTCTGAAGAGAATCATTCAGTACTTGCCACCTTTTCCCACTAACGCATCAGTATTCCTCTCTCCCCCAAGCTTTACCTTTACAGTTTTGTGGTTGAAAAATTTAGACGTCGATTTATGTTTTTTCTCTCCTGGCCCTGGCTTGTCACAGATGTCCACAGACTGCACGTGCCCGCAGCGGGAGAACAGCCTAGACAGCGAGTCCTTGATACCGGGAGTAAGAAAGAACACGCGGTACAGCAAAGCAGGAGCGATGCTTTCCACGCATGGCCCGCAGAGCTGCCCGACATCACCCGGCCCTCCGCCCGCACCATCAAGGCAGTGCCCTCGGCCCGCAGCCGCCCCCACTCACCGGGCTGCAGTACGGGGGCACATTGAGGACGAAGAGCGTGCGGCGAGGCGGGTGCGTGGTGTCGGCTCCTTCCCGCACCTGGTGCTCCTTCACCAACAAGCAGTGGGGCGATCGCTGCCGCGCCGCGAACTTCACCGCCAGAGCTGCGAGGGACGCACCGCTTTGACACGCCACTGCCGCCCTGGGACCGCTCCCGGTGCCCCGCGCTGCCCCTCACCCGCGTACCCCGCCGGCCCCGCTCCCGGAGCCCCGCGCTGCCCCTCACCCGCGTACCCCGCCGGCCCCGCTCCCGGTGCCCCGCGCTGCCCCTCACCCGTGTACCCCGCTCCCGGTGCCCCGCGTTGCCCCTCACCCGTGTACCCCGCTCCCGGTGCCCCGCGCTGCCCCTCACCCGTGTACCCCGCTCCCGGTGCCCCGCGCTGCCCCTC